AACCCACTCGCCAGCCACCTATTGATAAGTTGTGTGTGAGGAATTTTTTTCTTTCTATAAATTCTGAAGTATTCAATATATGTAAAAAAAATATGTTACATATGCATGTTATAAAGTGAATGATACAATGAATGACTAGACTGTTACCAATACTGTTAAAACTCAAGAAGTTCCATGTTCAGTCCTTTCATCTCGTCCTTGCTGGAAATAACTACTGTCTTGGATATTTTAAACAAAGTAAAGGACTTCCTTGATTTTATTTTATGTAGTGTTTAAGGAAAGATAACTAATGCAACAAAATATACAGAAATCATAGGCAAATAACCTTGCAAGTTTTTAATAGTGAATACACCTATGTAACTACCATTCAGAACAAGAAATAGAACATACACAGCATCTTTGTGGCCATCCTTATGGCCCCTCCAAGTCAACACACTTGTTGACTTGGTGCTTTTAGTGCTTCTTCATCCTGAAGAAACATCATTCTGTAAGCCTTAATTTTCCTCCAGTACGCTAGCAGAGGACAGTGGGTGTAGCTGTTTGTGTGTAGCTTAAGATTGTGGTGATTTTGGGACCAGCAGTTAGCGTAATGGCTATGTCGCTGGACTCCCACGTAGTCGACTGCGGTTCGAGTCCCGGACCCAGGGGCTTAAACGCACGCCGGGTGCGTGTGCATGTGTGTGTGTGCCCATGATCCCGAGAGGAGAATGAAGGAGAAGGGATTGCGGCATGGCCATCCCCTTGGGGGGGTGATTTCTCGCTTTCTGTCTCTCTGTCTGACAAGTGCACGCGCCCTATAGCAAAAACCTCTCCCCCCCAAACAAAAGAAAAAGAAAAAAAAAAGATTGTGGTGATTTTATAGTATCCTGGGCATTTCACATTCATGGAGTAGGTATTTGGGCTTTGTATCAGGTACTTCTTCTTGTGTTTCCTCTTCCCTTTTGGAGAGGGATGAAGGATATCCTTTGAGAAAGGCATGTTCTCAAGGGGAGATTGTCACTGCTAGAAAGCGCTTTTTATCTTTAGTATGTTTTCTGCCTTAAGATCTACTGTATCTACTGTATCAGCTTATTTTTTTTTTAAAGAGAGATTTTTGCTATAGAGCCTATGTACTTGCTGGAGAGACAGAAAGTGAGAAATTACCCCCCTTCCCAGGTAGTATGGTCTTGCCACAGTCCTTTCTCCTTCATTCTCCTCTCAGGATTTTGGGCATGTATGCACACATGCCCAGTGTGAGTTTCAACCTGCTGGGTCCAGGACTTGAACTGTGGTTGACTACATAGGGGTCCAGTGATGTAACCATCACACCATCTGTTTGTCTTTCAGCTTTTTTTTTTTTTTTTAAGAATTATTTTATTTAACTTTATTTATTTAATTTGACCAGAGGAAGACAGAGCGAGAGAGAGAAAGAGAGAGAGAGTGAAAGAAAGTGAGAAAGCAAGCCGCCAAGTCTGGGACTCGAACTGTAGTTGGCCATGTGGGAGTCTAGCACCCTTAACCATCACGCCACCTGCTGGCCCCTATTATTAGTTTTTGCATATTATTAGTTTTTGTATATTCTTTTACATTATTTTGTTTCTGGTTATGCTGGATAGTTAAGTTTTATATTTTATCCAGTTTGATACAGATTCTTTTTTATTGGAGTATTTAGTATATTTATTAAGAACTATGGTATATTTCTGTTTTGATCTATAGTTTCATATTCTTTCATTTATCTATTTTTTTGTCTACTTTCTAGCCTTCTTTTGTATTAATTGGTTATTTTTTACTTTCTATTTTTATTCTCTATAAGCTTGTTATTATAGATTCTTTCATTATTTCCTTAGTGGCTTTCTTGGAAATTATACAGGTCAGAGATCAGCAGATGGCATAATGGTCACGTTGCTGGACTCTCACATAGCTGACTGCAGTTTGAGTCCCAGACCCAGTGGCTTGGAACTCACACCAGGCACCTGTGTGTGTATGTACCACAGGAGAATGGAGGAGAATGGAGGAGAAGGGACTGTGGTGTGGCCGTCCCCCCTGGGGGGATTTCTTGCTTTCTGTCTCTCCTCTGGCAAGTGCATGCACTCTATAGTAAAAATCTCTCCAAAAAAAAAAGAAAAAAAATTATACAGGGCATCCCTGGCTTATTGGAGTAATGTGTTTTATCACTTCCTGGACAATGTAAAGATCTTAAACATTGTGAGAATTTACGTGCTGTTATTGTCATTCATTTATCTTTTTTTGTCCATCATTTATGAGTGTCTATCTTTAGTTTTTTTTTTTTTTTTCTGTTTAAATAGTTCTTCAGTATTACTTATAGTAAGGCTCTGCTGGTGTTAAATTCTCAGTTTTTTGTCTCTTTGAAATGTCTTTCTTTTACCTTCCTAGTTGGATGACATTTTGGCTGGGTATAGAATTCTAAGTTGACAGCCTCCCCCCCACCACACACATCAGGAATGTTCTGGTCCATGGTTTCTGTTTAAAATTTACCTGTCAGAATTGTTTTTTGGAAGGTAATGTATCTTTGTCACCCTCTTGCTGCCTTTTTTTTTGAGTTTTTTGCTATAGGGCGTGTGTACTCGCCAAAAGGACAGAGAGAGACAGAGAGACGGAAAGCAAGAAATCACCACCCCTGGGGGGATAGTCATGCTGCAGTCCCTTCTCCTCCATTCTCCTCTCGGGATCTTGGGCATGCATCATACGTACCCGGTGTGAGTTTAAGCCATTGAGTCCGGGACTCGAACCGTGGTTGACTACATGGGAGTCCAGCAACATAGCCATTATGCCAACTACTGATCCCCCTCTCACTCCTTTTAAGTCATTGGTTTTTCACAGTTGTTTACATAATATGTCCAGAGGTATGTGTGTGATGTATATCTGACTTAAGATTTGTAGAGTTTGCTGAATCTGTGGCTTGGTGTCTTTGGTCAGTTTTGAAATGTTTTTGATAGGAATTTCTTCAGATAATATGTGTATAGATGTGCATGCGTGTGCATGTATATGTATATTTTTAGAGCGAGATTTTTTGCTATAGGGTGTGTGTGCTTGCTGGAGACAGAGAGACAGAAAGACAGAAAACCAGAAAGCAAGAAATCGCCCCCTGAGGGGATGGCCAGATCACAATCTCTTCTCCTCCATTCTCCTCTTGGGATTTCGGGCCCACGCGCGCACAAACACACACACACACACCCGGCATGGAAGCCACTGGATCTGGGACGCAAACTGCGGTCGACTGCATGGGAGTTCAGCTACATAGCCATTATGACATCTGTGGGTCCCGAGATAATATTTTTATACTCTATCATTTGACCTCTATGACTCTCCAGTTATGGACCTTTTCACTATATCCTATATATCTCTTATTTATTTTTTGTATTTCTCATTTTGAAATTTTTTTCTTGTAAAATAGTTTCTGCAGATTACTCTCTTAGGTCTCTGTTATGCTTTGTGGAAGTTGCTGTTAAATGTATCGTTTTTCTTTTGCTTTTAGTTAGGGAATTTACATTTAATCTTTCTTGTTAGCTTCCAGTTGTCAAGTTTATTAGAAAGATAGATAAATGAAAAAGAATCAGAGAAATTCTAGAGATGAGGACTGCAATGCAGGAAGTAAACATTCTGTAGAGTACATTAACATAGCTACCCTATGCAGAAGAAAGAATCTCCGAATTTGAAGACACAACTTTTAAAATAGTTCAAACCATCAAGAAGAAAGAAAAAAAAAAAGCCATTCAAAATGAAGAGAACATACAAGAAAAACAGGACACCATTTGGCAACTGAATATCCATATGCTAGTATCCCAGGTGAAGAGATGGGAAAAGGCATAAAAAATATATTTTATGAAAAGGTAACTGAAACCCTTCAGATCTGCAGAGAGATACAGATTTCCAGATCCAGGAAATGCAAAGAATGTCAAATAGATTAAACATAAGATTTTGTTCAAGTTATATTATAGTCAAAATATCAAAAGTCAAAGATAAAGAGAAAATTCTAAAAATAGCTAGACATAAGTACGAAGTTACTCATAAAAGATACTCCCTCAGACTAAGCAAAGACCTCATAAGCAGAAATCTTACAAACCAAGAGGTATTGGGATGCCATTCAACATTCGGACAAAGAAAGTTTCAATCAATGACCCAGCAAAACTATAATTCAAATTTGAAGGAGAAATGAAATCATTTCTAGACAAACAAAAACTGAAGGGATTAACCAATATTAGAATAGCACTTCAAGAAGTATGTAAGGGAGTACTGCATCTGAAAAAAAAGGAAGATAAATACTACCAGGAAAACATATGAGGGCATACAATTCACCAGTAGAACAACTATACGAAGAAGAAATGATTCAATCTCTGTCACTGGAAAACTACCAAATACCAAAGAAAACAATAATGGAAGAAAAGAAGTTAAAAAACACAAAACAATCAGGAGCCAACCAACAAGAGGGCAGTGGTTAACCTGTACATAGCAATACCATTATTGAATGTAAATGAATTAAACTCCCCAAAGATGGATTGGTTGAAGGGATTGAAAAGAAACAGCAGCTTTTTACTGCTGCTTGCAAGAAACTCACCTCACTAGTAAAGGCACACACAGATGGAGAGTGAACATTTGGAAAAAGTCATTCCATGCAAATGGAAACCATACCAAACAAAAATACCCCAAAGCAAAATAAGATCAGCTATCTTAATATCCGATACAGTAAATTGTAAGCTAAAATCTTAAAAGAAAAAAGAAAAAAGTGACAAAGGGGGGCCATCACAGTTAAGGCAGTAGTTCCATTCCTAATGGTGACTTGGAAAACCATTCTGGGTACATGTGTGTGCATGTGAAAAATCCCTAGAGGGGGAAAAGTGAAGGGGAGATTGTGGTATAACCGTGCCCTAAGAAAACTGAAGGATGATGCAATAGCGATGATTATTTAATATTAAGTCAGCTTTTCAAGTGTTTCTACTGTCTTTTTGTTAGCATAGGTGGGAATAATTGATAATGTGAGAGAATTCCTTGGCTACAGAAATACCAAAATGTTTCAAGATATAGGAAAAACAAGATAATATTAAGATCCCATAAAATGGAGCCAGCGGTTGGTATGAGGATAAAGGCACTGGACTTCTACATGACCAGCTACAGTTTGAGTCCTGGTGGCTTGCTTTCTCACTTTCTCTCTCTCTCTGTATCTCTCTGTCTCTCCACTCTGGCGAGCACATGTACTGTATGGTGAGCACATGTACCGTATAGCAAATTTAAAAATAATAATAACTAAAATTAAATAAATTATTTAAAAAAAACTCATAATGTAGCAGATTTATAGAAGGGTTTAGTGGACACATATGGTAATTGCAAAATAAAATGAGTCTATTCTATTTTTTAAAAAAATGATGTTCTTGGGACCAGCAGTTAGCGTAATGGCTATGTTGCTGGACTCCCCTGTAGTCGACTGCAGTTCGAGTCCCAGACCCGGTGGCTTAAACTCACGCCGGGTGCGTGTGTGTGTGCCCAAGATCCTGAGAGGAGAATGGAGGAGAAGGGGTTGCAGTGTGGCCGTCTGTCCTGGGGGGTGATTTATCACTTTCTGTCTGTCTCTCTTTGTCTTTCTGGTGAGCACATGCACCCTGTAACAAAAACCTCTCCAAAAAAAAAAAAAAATGAAGTGGTTCTGTATAGGAAGACATAGAATAATCTTTAGGATATATTGTTAAGTGGAAACAAAAAGTGGCAGATCACAAATTTAGGAAAAATCCATTTCTGTAAGAAGTAAGAAATAAAATCCAAAGTACATGTGTATCTCTCTCATTATACAGTTTTACAGGAAAAAAGCCTTAGCAGAGTAGATACCATTCTGTTCACCATGCGTACATTTGGAGAGGGATGTTGGAGGTATGGGGGTTTACCTCATGTTCTTCAGAATGATCCAAATTTTTTTTTTTTGGAGAGGTTTTCGCTATAGGGCATGTGCTCACGCCAGACAGACAGAGACATAGAGACAGAAAGTGAGAAATCACCCCCCCAGGGGGGATGGTCACGCCGCAATCCCTTCTCCTCCATTCTCCTCTCGGAATCTTGGGCACGCACGCACACGCGCCTGGTGTGAGTTCTAAGCCACCGGGTCTGGGACGTGAACCGTGGTCTACTACGTGGGAGTCCAGCGACATAGCCATTACGCTAACTGCTGGTTCCCAAGATCCAAATTTTTTAAAAAAAGAGACTAAATTTACATATCATATAATGAACAAATTATCATTGTAAATGATCTAATCTTTTTTTTCTGTTATATGTTTTGTTAGGATTGGTCCAAAGGAAGATTTTTTCCACTGTTTGAAATGTAACTTATGCCTAGCTTTGAATCTTCAAGGAAAACATAAGGTAAATAATTGAGTTTGCCTAATTTTAAAGTATTGTAGTGTTTTTGAAAGCCAGCTTAAATTCTAATATGTTTTGGAAGCATGCTAATTTTCAGATAGTACCAAGTGCAAGTATATTGCTTTTTAGAAAAGCAATATTATGAAAAATATATTTCAAAGTATATGGCTCATCATATCTGATCTATAATTTCTTTTCTCTATGGAGTAAGAATGCTTTAATCAATTTATAAGTTGGTTAATGATTCTTAAGAATAACTTTAAAATAGAAATACCGAGCAGTGTAACCTATTAGCACAGCATTCTAAGAAAATTCAGAAAGTAGTGTTTTATTTTCTCTCATAGTTAAGACATAAATATTTTTAATCTCATTATAGGAATTATTTCACGTTTTCTGGCTCTCTTTCATTATTTGTAAACAACTGACAAAGTATTACATATTTAATACTGATTGTATCTACACCAAGAATTTAGAGAATGAGGGACTGGCATAGGTAGAGTGAAGTTTAAATGATATTTGTGAAAGTACAGTATAAGAAATTCCAAATAAGGGGGGAACCAGCAGCTAGCATAATGGCTATGTCGCTGAACTCCCACGTAGGCGACCGTGTTTCGTGTCCTGGACCCGCTGGCTTAAAACCCATGCTGGGCACGTGTGCGTGTGTGTGCATGTGTGTGTGTGTGCATGCCCAAGATCCCGAGAGGAGAATGGAGGAGAAGGGATTGCGGCGTGATCATCCCCCCTGGGGGGTGATTTCTCGCTTCCTGTCTCTATGTCTCTCTCTGTCTCTCTGGCGAGCGCAAGTGCCCTATAGTGAAAATCTCCCCAGAAAAAAAAAAAAAAAAAAAAGAAATTATACTTAATTTTAGTTAACAATATTGTTTGTAGGTGTTGATACAATCAGAGACAGATACTGATTAGAAAAGAGAGCATTTGAAATAATTTGCTTAGCACTATTCTAGGTTCAATAGAAGATAAAGGTAAGAGGTTATTGCAGAAATGTAATAGCAGATAGTGCCTAGGCCTAAATAGAAAGTTGATGAGGAAAGCTGACATCAATGATGAACATACAGTATATGCTAACAGAGTGTTGGGGAAAACGAATGGTTGAATAAAAATGACTTCCAAGTGTTTCCCCCCTGGGCTAAGGTACTTAATTAATAAATTGTATATTTGTTCTAGATAAAAGATCAAGTTTGCTTATTTAAAAAAAATACTTAATTTTATTTATTATGATTGTATTTTTAAAATTTATTATAGGCATGTGCTCATCAGAGAGAGAGAAAGAGAGAGAGAGAGAGGGAGGAAGTGAATAAGAAAGCTGCCAGATCCAGGACCATGTGGGAGTCCAGTGCTCTAATCACTGTGCCACTGTTGGTCCTCCAAGATTGGATTTATAAACTTGAGTTTGGAGTGATAGCAGGATATGTCAGTGGAGATAGCCAGGAATCAGTAGCCTCTTATGAATTACGTTTCTGTGGTGCTGTTTTGGTTTCTAAAGCATGTGTAGTGTGTGCCTGTGTACATGCTGTGTGTATGCACACACACAACCAACTCCTTGAATTCTTATCTTAGCATTTGCATTTCTTTACCTCAGAGGTGATCAGGTATGTTTAATTGCAGAACTGTTAAAATGTATGTGGGTGTGAAGCACACTTTAGAATCAAGTGACGTATGTTTTAGTTTTATCTTGTAAATAAGGAAAATAAGTCTAAAGAAGTGGTAGTTTATTCAGACTCTTAAGGCTTAGTACATAGCAGAGCTGAGACTACAATTCAGGTTTTAAAATGTATTATTTTGAGGGTTTTTCTTCCCATTTCACTCTGTTGTCTTTAAAAAACTATATATATTTTCTCTGGTATTATTTTTATTTTGTTGTCAGTTACTTATTGTTGTATATATTAGTAAATGGCCCTCCCATGTACTCAGGTAATTTTGTTAAAAACTTAGGAGTCATCCATGACACAGCACTTCTTACCTCCCCACATCTAATCAGATATAAATCTTGTCAGGAACTCAAGTTCTGGCCCTACTTGCCCTCTCTGGGCCCAGGGCTTGGTGGGCGACAGTGGGCCTCAGGAAGCACCACAGATCCGCCTTGCCCTGGGCCTCGGGGTGATGGCGGAGAAGGCCTGGCCGGCTGCCCTGGACCTTGGGTTCAAGTGTTCCTGGGGTGGCTGGGGACTCCTGCATGGAGGCAGGTTGAGGTCCGCCTGTCACCGCCAGATGCGAGGCTTGTTGGGAGCCCACACTTTCTCCTCGGGGCCCTTAGAAAACTGCAGGGTGCAGGGCTGCACAGCTGCCCCTGGGAGCCAGAAGGATTGAGGAGGGCAAGGCAGGTGGCACCACCAGCCTCTTAGTCAAGTAGGTGCAGAAGCTTTTTTTAGGAGAAGGTACTGAAGACGTTGGGGAGGACTGTACAAACCAAAGATGAGCAATTTGAACAAAGTACCGGAAATTTCTACCAGCAACAGGCAGAAGGCCACAGACTGTACAAGGACCTGAAGAGTTTCCTTAGTTCAGTGAAGGTAATGCATGAAAGTTCAGAGAGTGTCAGAAACCCTGCAGGAGATCTATAGCAGCGAATGGGAAGGTCATGAGGAACTGAAGGCCATCATAGGGAATAATGATTTCGGGAAAGCTGAAGAAAAACTATCAGACCAGGCCTTGAGGACCGTAGAAAACTATGTAGTCCAGTTCAGCAAGATTAAGGAGAGAATTGCTAAGCAGGATGGAAATTTGTGGACTGTGACCGTACCCGACGCCATCTGGAGAGCCAGAATGCCAAGAAGAAAGATAAGTCCAAGACTGCTAAGGCAGAGGAAGAGTTCAACAAAACCCAGATTGTATTTGAAGATCTGAACCAGGAACTTCTGGAGGAGCTGCCTATTCTTTGTAATAGTTGTATAAGTGTTATGTGACCATCTTCCAAAACATTTCCAACTTGAGGGATGTCTTCTTCAAAGAGATGAGCAAGCTGAACCGTAATCTCTATAAGGTCATGAGCATACCAGAGAAGCAACAATTCCAACAAACTCTTTGTGGTGAAGGCACTATTAAGCAGCAGCAGACATTCTTGAATCATCTATTCTTCAGTTCATACATCTAGTGTCCAGCCCTCTTACCTCACCTACCAGTCCTTCTGTACATTTTTTGATGAGTGAGAGTTAATCTATCTCAGCAACTGAAGAGCTGGCACCTGGTGCAGCTCAGGGAGAAGACAATAAAAAAAAAGAATCCTTAAAAGATGAGGAAATAGAGAAGGATGGGTCTCTGAAGCAAGTTCCTCTGAGGAGAATGAACCTCTATTAGCCTGTAGTGGTCCAACATAGGCCCAGCTTTCTCCCATCACTGAGGATGGGATGTCCCAGGAGGAAGTTCTCCCTTGCTCCCCAGCTCTATCACCAGGCAGAGCCCTTCCCCCATCAGAGCAGCCTTCATCATCTCTGCCAGAAGTCGTCCTTCGAATCTGAACCTCAGGCGAAGGATCTGAACAACCAAAAAAGAAAGCCTCTATCCAGAGGACCTCAGCATCCCCTAGCAGACCTTTTCTACCCAGAGTCACTCCGAGCCCCAAGACCTCCTCAGGAAACATGCCTTCCATCCCTATAACCTCTGGAAGTAATTCATCCACCAGCCCCAGAGTCTCCTTGGAACCTGGGACTCCCAAGTCCTAGGGCCTCCTTAGAGGCTTCTCTTCCTCCAGAGCCACCAGAGAAGCCAGTAAGAACTCCAGAGGCCAGAGAAAAGGAAAATACGCATAGTCTCGGCCCAGAAGAACTTTGTATTTCTCCTATCTTGATGAGCTCTCAGGTTTTCTTAAATCTTAAAGAGACAAGGAAGGTGGAAGAGAACAATAAGGTTATCTCAGCTGACTCCCCTGAGAGCTAAGGCCTTCATCTTCATGATTCTGTGGTTCTAGGAGAGAGGAACCTCATAGCACCTGAGCCTCAAGAAGAGGTATCTACAAGTCAAAGTCCAGTCAGAATTCTATAAGTCAAAATTCAGTTTCTCTGAAGAGAAACTGCCAAGCTCTCCTGCCCCCAAAACACACCTCCTCAGGGAAGTTCCTCAATTAGAGGGTATAGGTCAGGGGGATTTAAGAGCACACATTCATTTCTCAGTTCTCAGTTCTCAGACAGTATGAATGCTGTTGGTCTCTAAAGATTTGGCATTAATAGAGGCTGAGGAGCAGCCTTATGGGAGTAAGGGAGCGAGCAGAGACTTGGAAGTAGTTATACTTGGAATATTTCATTCAAGTTACAGCACTGTTAGAAGAATAAGACTTTATATATTAAGTATAGTGGGAGTCTAATGAGTATAAAAAGCAGAAGTATCTCCAGACAGACACTTGTCTCCACAGAGACACATAAACACAGATACTCAGGGATAGTGACAGATCTTTTACTACTTATTTTCCAAGACCAAAAGCCATATAAACAGGTTTCCAGATTGTTAAATAAAGTATGATTCTGACTAAAAAAAATAACTCAAGCTCTGGAATCAGCTTACTAGAGCTCTCATTTAATTTCTCTTTCTTTTTTTTTAAATGATTATTTTTATTTAATTTATTATTATTATTATTATTATTTTTAATTTGACCAGAAAGACAGAGAGAGTGGGAAAGTGAGAAAGCAAGCTGCTAGGTCCAGTACTTGAACTGTTGTAGGCCATGTGGGAATCCAGCACCTTGACCACTGTGCCACCTGCTGGCCCCAAGTTTCTCTTTCTAGTATATAACTTTGGAAGCTATCTAGCGTCTCTAGGTTCAAACATCTCATCTGTAAAATGGAGTCATAATTATATCTATTTCATTTACAGTCGTAAGAATTAATTGAACTTAAATAGTACTTAACATGGCATGTGGCAAATATGAATAATAAGAACTATTATTTTTACTAATATTAAGTATTTATAGTTTAGCTTACAAATTTAGGGTAGTAGTTTGGAGTAAAATACACACACAGTAGAAAGGTCCCAAACCATATCATTTTTGTATCTTGGGTAAGTCTCTTGACTCCCTGAGTCAGTTTCCTCATCTCTAAAATGAAAGTAATATGAATCTAGATTGATTGAGCATTTTCATTGTTTCAGGTAATTTGCCAAACTTGAATTAAAGAAGGCAAGAAATACAGGTGCTAAAAAACTCTTGGGACCAGCAATTGGCATAATGGCTACGTTGCTGGACTCCCAGGTAGTTGACCATGATTTGAGTCCTGGACCTGGTGGCTTGAACTCATGCTGGGCGTGTGTGCATGCGTGCCCAAGATCCCAAGAGGAGAATGTAGGAGAAGGGATTGCGGCATGGCCAATCCCTTCTCCAATCTCTGCCTCCCCCCACCCCCTGGGGGGTGATTTCTCACTTTCTGTCTCCCTGTTTGTCTCTGTCTTTCTGGAGAGTGCATGTGCCCTATAGCAAAAAATCCTCTCAAAAGATAAACAAAAACAAACAAACAAACAAAACCCCCCAAATGTTTTTGACATAGAGGAAGCATATATTAATGTTAGCTATTAGTTTTAGTATGTTAGTTTTATTGTTTTTGTTACTTTTTTCTCTTTTTATTTATTTTACATTCGTTCACTGAGCATCATCACAGCATACAAAATGTAATTTTCCATCCAGAATATACTGCATAGTGGTTTAATCGTACATGTTATCATAGACAAATAATTTTCCTTTTCTTGTTTCATATATATGTATGTATATATATATTTTCCCCCTATTTGTCACCCTCTGCCATTTTTTTTTTATATGATCAGTTATTTAATTAGGTTCTTGGCAACAAAATCTAGAACACCAATTTGTGAGGATAAACTCCATTTGTAAGGGCAAATACGGATCACAGGTAGCCCTGGAGCTGAGGAACAGCTTTGATTTTTGGTAAAATTTGCGAATCTACAGCTTTCTGATCAGTCTTGCGCTGCTCTGAAATCTCGTATTTCTCCTTCTCTGTGTTGAAGATCTCACCTTCCTGGTGTTTGGCTTCCGCAGTTTCTTTTTCTTGAAGTAAGCATTGGTAAGGTTCTTTGGAATTTTTACTTTGCTATTATCAATTTTTGTGGAGGTGGCAATGACAAATTTCTGGTGTGTTCTACGCAGTGGAACTCGATTGAGAACCAGCAGTCCAGTTCCAAGTAGCAAGCCACTGCTCAGCTGCTTCAGGAAAACCACTCTCTTGCCTCTGTGGTGTCCAGTGAGGATGATCAGAATGGTCCCAGGAGTGATGCTGGCTCGCAGCTCTCTCACCTGCTGACTGAAGGGTTTTTTGCCGTGGCTCAACAGCTTTCAAGGCACATCTTCAGTAGGATAATACCTAGGCATTTTGCGCAGTTTAACGACCCGGGTACCACCATTCTTGTCTCCATCAACCGGTTTTGTGACAGTCGCAAGAACCTTCTCCTTTTTCTTTTCAATCCTGGATTTAGTGGCCGAGTATTTCCTCTTGTACATGGCCTTCCTGGAATACATGGCAGACCGGAGTATCTGCCGATGCCCTGGTCTAGGATGGGGTTTCGACTGCAATGGGGCTTCCCCTTCTGGGGCTTTTTAACCTTGGGGTCACCTTTTTTTTAACTTAGCCTTGGGGTCACCCTTTTTAACCTTGCCACTAGCATCAGCCTTCTTGGCTTCAGGTTTCTTCTCCTTAGTATCCTGTCTTTGCAGCTTTATCGCCTGCCATCGTGTATAGTAGGAAAAAAAGCACCCTCTGCCATTTCTCACCCTCCTCCTACACTGTCTCTGGTGTCTACTGTTGCCTTCCATTCCTTTTTTTATTTCTCCCCACATTTTATTGATTCACAAATATCTTAATTAACTATTTTCAATAGCAGGTTCAGCTGATAATTACATATCTGAACACATGTCTGACTTTAGGCATGAACCTCTGAGTAGAATGAATATACTATAAAGTACATCTAGCTGATGCTATGTAGTTTAATGTGGTCATTAAATAGTGTTTTTTTTTGTTTGTTTGTTTTTTGAGAGGTTTTTGCTACAAGCGCGTGCACTTGCCAGAGAGACAGAGAGAGACAGAAAGAAAGTGAGAAATCACCTCCTGGGAGGATGGCCATCTCTTCTCCTCCATTTTCCTCTTGGGATCTTGCACTCGGTGAAATAGTTTTTTTTTTTTTTTTTTAAATATATTTTGTTAATGTTAAGAAAAGCAGTTTTAGCTTTAATAAATCAAAATAAAAAAGATGCTAAGAGAACTTTGCTTGAAACTTAAAGCCAGGAAACAGGTTAGGATTCTGTTCAAATAGTAGGTACATGAACCTATCGGCAGCTTAAGATAAAACAAAAATCCTTAAATCTGGAGAACAAAGCATAGAAGAACAAAGCATAAAATTAGTAATGTTTTAGTCAAAAGTCCTAAGATTCTATTTCACCAGTTCAGTCTCATGTACTTAATCTATCTTTTATTGTGGTCCAATATTCCCGTTTAAATTCTGGAACATAACATTCAACTCCAGACTTGTCCGTACCATTAAGTTGGCCATTTTTTTGGTTGTTTTGTACTCTTATGTCTGTGTGTCTGTATTTCATTTTACTGGTATAGCACTCCCTTCAAAACTTCTTTGAGAGCTGGTCTGGTGTTGGTAAATTCTTTTAGGTTTTGTTTATCTGAGAATGTTCTTGTCTTTTCTTCCCATATGAAGGATAATCTTGCTGGGTACATTATTCTTAGTTGAAATTGTTTTTCTTTGAATACTTTGAATATATTTTCCCATCCTTTCCTTGCTTGCAATGTTTCCGATGAAAGGTCCACTGTTAGCCTGATGAGGTATCCTTTGTAGGTAATTTGACATCTCTCTCTTGCCAATCTCAGTGTCTTGTCTTTGTGGTTTTGGTCAATCTGGCTATGTGTCTTGGAGAAGATCTTCTTGGGTTGATTCTACTTGGAGTTCTTTGTATTTCTTGGGACTGGATCTTTGAATGCCTCTCCAGGTTTGGAAAGTTTATTTCCAGGATTTCTTGGAATAGATTATCAGTATCCTTATCAGTCTCTTCACCTTCTGGAATACCAATTATCCGGATATTTGAACGTTTAATAGTATCTGGTATTTCTCGGATATTCTCATTTTCTTGGGCTGTTTTTTTCAGTCTTTGTGGTGGATTTTTCTAGACCAGTGATTCTGTCTTTCTACATCTAAGATTCAATCTTCTATATGGTCTAGTCTATTTTTAATACTTTCAAGGGAGATTTTGAGTTCCTGTATCACAGCCTTCATCTCTGTTTTGTTCCCTCTTTTAGATCATGCAAGAACTTCCTCACCTCTTGGAAATCGTCGACTCTTCTCCTGTGTCTTCTGGGATTCATTATTTCTCTTCTCTTCCATCTCTGTTAGCTTTGTCACTATGAATATTCTAAATTCTTTATCTGACATTTCTATGAGTTCCATTGTACTGTCTGTGGATCAAGAGGAGTTTTTCTTTTCCCTTGGAGTAGGGGTATTTTCTTGCTTTCTCATATTTCCTGTGCCCCTGCAGTGATTTATGGTCATCTGAGGGGTTGTTCGTTTCTTCCTAATTCTTGAAATTCAATCTGACTGTTCAGAGGCATGCTGGAGGAGGTGATCTGCATGCAATATCTCTTCTATTCTGTTTTTTTTTTTTTCTCTTTGTGCATCAGATTCAGTGGGAATTGAGGAATATTCCAACCCTAATAGTAATCACATGTTTGGATACTGTTCACTTAGACCTACCTAGACACTCGGTGCATGGAGGCTGAGCCGCCAAGGGATGAAATGAAAAGAAAAAGGGAAAGGAAAGAGAAGCAGAAAGAAGAAAAAAAAATTAAAAAGAAAAAAAAAAGAAAGAAAAATGACTATAAAATAATTTTATATTTTAATTTTAAAAGGCAAAAAATGAAAACCATGCACAGTGGAGAAAGCATTATTTCACAGCTGAAGTTCAGTAGCCATCTCAGAATGGGCCTTAGTTTGTGCCTCTCCTAGATGGGAGGGGGAAAGGCACGGATTAGGAAGTTAAAGGAGGAGCTTGAGAGCCCAGGGAATACTTTACCTTAAAAAAAAAAAAATTTAGAGACACAGAGAGACAGACACAGATGGAGAGAAGGAGACAGAGGTTGCCCTACCAATCTAGAAATAGATCTGGAGGGAGAAGTCTCAGCAGAAAGTCTTCCTTTTTAGTCCCTGAAAGCATTTTTTCACAGCTGAAGTTAGTAGCCATCCTGTTTTTATTATTAATACTACTCTTATATATGACATTTTAATCTAATTCAGCCTTTGTTAATGTGAGTTTGTCTTTCAAACAGTGTATTGAAAATGTCTCCCGGCAGAATTGTCCAATATGTTTGGAGGTAAGCTTAAAATATTTTTGCTTTGGAAGCCTGTCCTTTTCAATTTAAAATAATTGTACATTGGCATTGTCATTATATAAGCACCAACATTTATTTTCTTTACAGGATATTCACACTTCCCGTGTTGTTGCTCATGTCTTGCCATGTGGACATCTTTTACATAAGTAAAGTAACTTTTTTCTCAAAGATGTTTCAAAATAGTGGAGGTTGTTTTTGTTTTACTAAAATAATATTATATTTTCTTTCAGAACGTGCTATGAAGAAATGTTGAAAGAGTGAGTGATAGAATTTTAAAAAATTATAATTGTGAGATGTTGGAGTTTGGGGGGAGATGGGAAGGTGGGCAAACTTTGCTGTTCCTTTCACTGTATTGGGTGTGTCAGGTATTCCCAATGAGATGTGTTGGGTAGATAGTGGTAGTAGATACAAAACATCTCTAGGAATATAGGACTACACCTTTGTCCCCACGTTTCTGTTATGCCTTATCTCATCCCACAACTCAAGACAGCTCCATCTTATTTTCTAGCTGTATTTACTAGGTAGCACATCCTCTGCTATAGGCAGTTGTAAAAATGTTGAAGAATGTTGCCCAAAATTGTGTTAGTTTGTTATATTGGCCATGTGTAATGAAAAACAAAGAAACTTGGTAAAGAGATTTTTCTTTTTTTTAAAAAATATTTAAAGAATTATTTAACATTATTTATTATTTTTTAATTTGACCAGAGAGACGGAGAAAGAGAGAGAAGGAAAGTGAGAAAGCAAGCCATCAGGTCTGGGACTTGAACCATGGTCAGGCATGTGGGAGTCCAGTGCTTTTAACCACCATGCCACCTGCTGGCCCCAGTAAAGAGATTTTTCTAAAGCTGATACTTCACTGGAAGGAAGGATATTGAAATGAGGTGAGCTGCCTTCATAGTCTAGTGGTTAAGGGAACTGCATTCCACATGGCCGACTGGGTCAAGTTCTGGCCCTGATGCCTTGAGGAATATACTCGGTGTATACTCGGAGTGTGCACATGCATTCCCAAAATCCAAACAGGATGGAGAAATGGAGAAGGGATTGCAGCATAACTGTGCCCCATTGGGGGTGCTTTCTGACTCTGTCCCTTTTTCTGGCAAACACATCCTGTGACAATTAACAAATAAACACATAAAAAAAAAATGAGAAGTGAATAGTTAGGGAAGAGGAGACTGTGTAGATGTAGATGTATTTTGGTCCTGCAAATGGATAAGCAGGAATTTTAATCTGATGTAAGAACCAGATAGAGGGGAACCTTTTCAAATTTTTAGGAAGGAAATAATATGACCCAAATGATTTTTGAGGAATACAGTCTCCTCTTAGAATGAATGTATTAAGAAATTGAGATTGTTGAGTCCAGCAGGTGGTGTGGTGATCGAGGCAGTGGACTTCCACATGGCTGACTGTGGTTCGAGTGTCAGACCCAGCACCTTGAAAATCATGCTGGGCGTGTGTGTGTGTATGTGCTCAAAGTCCCAAGAGGAGAATGCAGGAAAAGGGATTGCCATGTGGCAGTCCCTCCAGGGGTTGATTTCTCACCTTTCTCTTACTGTCTTTCTATGGCAAGTGCACATACCCTGTGCCCCGCCCCCCCCAAAAAAAGGGGGGAAATGATGTGGTTTAGTTAAGGAGGCACTTAGTTTTCTTAGACATATGTGAATTAATTATTCTCCATTTAAAGAACCAAAGAAAAGACTTAGCTTTAAAAATGCCCTAAGATACAGGATTTAATTTAAAACTAGTATAGGGTAAAGGTTCTCAGGTTGCTAAGTGATTATCTTGAAATACAACATATTGCCTTGTTTTGTATGAATCTTCTTGTGTACTGAGTTAATATACTTCCCATTTAATATTTGGAAACTCACCTTTCTATTTTTTCTAGAGGCTACAGATGCCCACTGTGTATGCACTCTGCGTTAGATATGACTAGGTACTGGAGACAGCTGGATGATGAGGTTGCGCAGACTCCGATGCCGTCAGAGTACCAGAACATGACTGTGGATGTGAGTAGAGTCAGTGCTCAAAACTTGACAGGTTTTCGTTGGTGTTCTTGTTTATTTTTGGCCTTTTGTTTTCATTTGTCTAGTAAATACTGCTTTGACACAGATGTCAATGTGATGATTGATGGAAAGAACCAAAGGATTTCAATTTTGGTTATATTGCACTCAGACCAGAAAAACAATCCTCACAATACTTTTTTTTTTTTTTTTTTTGGGGG